ACTTTCATGTTTTGCGACGATCGTAGCTCTTAACTGCGGAAGGGTCTTAATTATAAAAACTGGGTGTATTGGAGGAGTACAGTTTCTAGTAAGAAAAAAAAAATCAAACCAAATAACTTTCGCGCATACTCTCAAAAACTCTAACAATCTCACTTGAACCAATTTCTCATCTATCTCCGCAAAATGCTTTCAAACTCTGATATGTTTTTGATCGTACTCTTCAGCATCGTAATTATAATCTATGAGATGCTAACCCGAGGTGTCCTAACAATAGAGATGCTCCAAGGCGTTTTTTCAGCGAATGCCATAATATATATAATCTTTGCGGTGGTGATTATATTTTTACGCAAATATCTATCTCCAGCTCCGGCAAAATCACAAATCGCCAAACTTGAAAAAACAGTATTGGCGATAAATAATGAATTATCCAACCACGAATGTGCAGGAATTTGGCGCAGTATCGTACACCTGGCAATAAAAAAATCAACACACTTTTATTATAACGCATTAAGCAAGACGGAATGGAATATTATGAATCATAGCAGTAAGTATGAATCGGGTCGAAAGGCGCTTTGCTAAATACTGCATTGCTTATTTTTTTACCACAGTTACTAATCCCCGAATTTGTGCTATAGTTTCGAAATTACTCAATATTGAGAAAGTTCTCTTGCGGGGAATGTTATTTTACATAGTCTGTGCGGGTGGGAGAGATATAATTAGTCAAAAATTCTATAGATATGGGTGGGATAATTTATTTTGGAAGTCTAGTGTAGTAAAAGAGTGTGAGACAAACAAATTAGCTATAAATTTTTTCAAAAACTTGAGAAAGCAAAGAAATAGTATGATGCTGGGACTCTCATTTATGGCCTAGGATCCGAGTACTCCCTCCCTCTTTGATAGCATCATACATTTCGCTTGCTACTTTATTTGCTATTATTCTGAAATTTATTTTAAATAAGGCTTTGTAATCAAATAATCAAAATGATCGTCTTACTGATTTGTGCGACAATAAATTATATATATATGTCTCCTTTTTTATTTTTTTTGCAAATTTTTTCTTTTTTCTGAACCGTACAACTTCAATTGCACATTTGTCCCACTTGTCCCACTACGATATATTTTTTAATGACTACAATTACAAACATCCCATCATTCGAAATCGTTCAAGGTTGGAACGTAGCTGATGTTATAAATTTTTTAGAATCTAATAATGGTTATTTTTCTCTTAACAACACTGAACTTGGAAATATCGAGAATAGTGGGTTTAATGGTCCAGCGTTACTCGATACAAACAAAGATGAACTTGTGAAAGATGTTGGTTTAAGATTAGGGCCAGCCAAAAATGTTGCAAGAATTGTCGCTCAGATAAACGACCAAAGTAAGTTCTATCATAAAATAGTTTATCGTTTGTGTTATTCAACGGACGTCTTTCTAGTCAGTCATTTTCGTAGTATTTATTACTCGTTCCTATGGTTTGCCCGTATGTTATATAATCATATAATACCACATACTTAATCTTTCCTCCTGCTTATCGTCAAACCCGCCCCAAAA